AAATATTTACGATGATTGTTACACTGTTTTATAGCCGATCGCACATTTTGAAATGCGTCAATTATACACATTTTTGAATAATATATCCTTATTTTAAAAGTTGTTTTTATTGCCATTGAAACATTAGATGGAAGAGTGAGAGGGAGTATAATTTGATTTTATTTAGCGCTGGTTATAAAAATTTCCTTCATTTCATTGGTATATTTAGTACATCTACATATGTATATCTGAGTATATCTATGTAAATAAAAATTAGATAGGTATGAAACATGGACATTCGTAATTCTCTTTTTTGTTGTTATTAATTATTATACAGGGTGTCTCAATATTCCGTGGACAGAGAATTACTACGTATTTTTGGAATCAAAATAAGTTCATTGGATACAATTTACCTCTATACAAAAGTGCTTTGTTTGTCCCTCTATACAAAAGTGCTTTGTTTGTCCGTTAGAGGGCATCAAACTTTAAAAAAGTACACATTTTTTCAGATATTTTAAGAACCGTTATTCCGATTTGAATGAGAATTTATAGGTGTCTATGTTTTGCTATGTGCTTAACATTTGACTTTCACAATAATCAAGAAAAAGTACGGGAAGGGTGAAAACTACCCCCTTCCTTACATAAATTTTAGTAGGAATATTTTCCAACTCCACCAACCACAGATTTTCTTTTCGTCAAATGGTCCCTCTAGTATTTACTATATTTTTTTGTCTCTTGTAAAAAAACGCCACAACACATGTTTTTGAGAAAAAACATTTTTCCCAAGCAGACCTACAAAATATACAGGGGCTTCCAATATTCCGTATTTTTTTAATCAAAATAAGTTAATTGCACATTATTTACCTTTATACAAAAGTGCTTCGTTTATCCGTTATAGGACATCGATAAAAAAATAAATTCGAACGTTAATTAATTTAAAATTTATTATTTTTTACGCTTTTTATGAAGCTTACTGTCAAATATAATTTGTGATACTAACATAAAATTCCATATTTTCGCCAGCTAGATTATCACAGCAGAATAGATTTTATGCGCCTCCATAGCTTGATGTGACAAAAACATTTTTTGAAAGTCAGCTTTCGAAAAATATTTTTTTTTCTCAAAAAGTATACGCGGTGGCGTTCTTTTACGCGAGACAAAAAATGTAGTAAAAACTAGAACGATCGTTTTACAAAAAAAAAAATCGGTCGTCGGTTGAGTTGGAAAATATTTATACTAAAATTTATATAGGGGTGGGAGTTGCTTTCACCCTTCTCGAACTTTTTCTTGATTTTTGTGAAGAGCATAGACATCCAAATTCTCATTCAAATCGCAAATAACGATTCTTAAAATATCTGGAAAAATGTGTTTATTTTGTTAAAGTTTGATGTCCTCTGACGGACAAACGGAGCACTTTTAAATAGAGGTAATTTGTGTCCAATGAACTTATTTTGATTCCAAAAATACGTAGTAGTTCTATATCCACGGAATATTGGGACACCCTGTATAAAAGATTTGTTTAAAACGTAATGTAAGTAAACATTTTAAACTAATTTTGACTACTTTAAAGTAATTTGTAATATCCACGAAACTGCAACATATACAAATTTTCCTGTTTGCTATTTTTTCTTAATTATTGTACTTAATAAGGCACTTGATTTTTAGTACCGTTTGATATTTCTAATGATTTAATTGAATAATTAAATTAGTTAAATTGATCTAGTAACATTTTTAGTGGTAATTAATTTGAATCGTAAATTAAGCAAATTACCTGGAAAACATCCAGACTAATTATAATCACGTCGGATTATATTAAATGTAATTTCTTAAAAAATATTTCACACACCAGTATTTTTAACAAGACTTTGCTGGAAATAGAACAAAGACAAACGTGTTTTTATCGTGTATTTCAAATCTGTCTAAATTAAATATTGTTTTAAATATAAGTTAGAATCATAGTATGTTGTCGGAAGTTCCGGGTTTTTCAGATTTATTGAGACGGTGTTTGTGGAGATTAATTTTGGAAATCAATTTTTGTTGTTATAGGGAAATACTGATTGCTCATACTGTTAAAACTTTCAACTAGTTATAGTAAGTCGTTCTAAAAATAATTGATATTCTTGTATTTCATTGTTTGTTTGGGTTGTTAATGTTACACAATGAATAGACCTAACCATGGTAACTAGATAAATGTTTCAAGGGTATATCGCATCCCGTCATCGGAAGTGTCGTCATGTCATAAAACAAGTTAAAGTTAAAATATACGAATATTTACTATTTCAAGAACACTTCAACATAATTTATCAAAGATCGACTCATTTTTTATTCAGTGTATTTGAATAAATAAAAATTCATATATGTATTTGAAAATATTTGAAATTCATATATATTCTGGTTATTTTATTATTTCTTGTGATCTGGTCACCATGATTTTATGATCGTATTTTCTCTTTTTCTAAGACTTTTAAAAGCTTGTAAATAGCAAAAATCGGTAATTTTTCCACCCTTTTCCATAGATAATATACAGGGTGTTTCAGAAAACATGTGCCATCTCTGGGGAGATTCCTCACGTAACAATAAGATGTATTTTTTATATTAACGTAGGTCTGATTCTGCTTTGTTGCGTAGCTAGAGGGGGTTGAAGTCTTATTTTTTTTCGATTTATGATAATTTCTTCCTAGTGCTTTTATCAATTCGAATAAAATGTTGAGGTTACCCAGGTTACTATAAGTGCGACATATTTAAAAAAGTGTCGACATATTCACCATGCAGGAACATGCATGTGTATGTGCAACATGTGCCTTATTGACTTTTTTCTCTTGTTTGCAAAATTGTATAGTCCGTTTAATGTCATTATAATGTGTCATTGTAAATGCTATTGCAATTTAATAATAAAATTGCCTTTATCTTATCAAGGAGCTAGAAATCGACAAAATATCAAGATACAACTTTTAATCGGAATTAAACCGCATACACAATTTTGGTAACAACAGAAAAAAGTCAATGGCGCACATTTTTTTTAACCTGTTCCAGTAATATTCCATATGATGCATGTTTCTGATGAATATCTCGTCTCTTTTTTAGCACTAAAATATGTAGCATTTATAGTAACTTGTACCTTCAAAATTTCATTTGAATCACTATAAGCACTTGGAAGAAAATTAAGTATCGAAACAAAAAAATTAAGACTTTAATCTCCTAGCTACGAAACAAAGCAGAATAGGACCTATGCTGATTTAAAAAATACATCTTATTTTTACGTGATGAATCTCCCCACGAGAGTTGACACGTGTTTTTTTAAATACCCTGTATGTAGTCATGTAAATTGGTGATTATGGTCCAGTCATCAATTTTGATAAAAACCAATTATATTTACTGTTTAGAATGCGTTAAATTGGGTGACATCTGGGTCGAACTGGTCATATATAGTGTTGCACAAGACAAGAATTCTTGTCTTGAAAATGAATTTCTTGTCTTGTCTTGAAATTCAAGACAAGAAATTTTCAAAGTCTTGTCTTGCAGATTTCTTGAATGGCAAAGTCTTGTCTTGTCTTTCAAGACTCTTGAAATTTCTTGTCTTGAAAAATTTTACATTCTAACAAAAAGTTAATAATATTTCTATATTTTATATCATAGAAAGCGTCGTTTATCGTCGTAAAATTATGTTCTATTTTGGTTGCCCGTTTGTTACTTTTATTTTTTATGGTATTTATTTTATTTTTTTATTATGGAAGATTGGTTGGAAAAGTTTGGACACAGGGTGTACGGAAAGGCCATGCTAGAGTGTACTATTTTCGCTATTTGATGCTACTTTTTGTTCGCGGAGCAATTTCGTGCATGAAAAGTAGTACCATATAGCGCAAATAGCGTGCTCTATGAACCCACCATTAGTTTCAACTACCGTTAGTTTTTTTTATAATACCATTATACCAATATAACTTGAAATTTCTTGCATATTAAAGTCTTGTTTTGTCTTGAAATTCAAGACAAGAAATTTTGAAAGTCTTGAATTTCTTGGAAGAGTCTTGGTCTTGCAAGACTTTTTCAAGACTCTTGTGTAACACTAGTCATATAGTCAGGGTGGCGGTTGCCACCAGGGCCCCAGCCTTCGCGGGCCCCCCTGTCTTAGGACCTACATGTAAAATAGTTTATTATTTATTCTTAACTACTCGGAAAAATAAATTTAATAAACCCCACAACTGTAGAAAACACTGCTGCATTTTGCGTCTAAAATGGTACTAGGCATCACGTTGCAGCTTTTATTTCTATTACAAGATCTTCAAAATAATTAAATATGCTTGATTTTATACGAAAATAGCGAACAAGTGTGCTGGTAATTCTCACAATTTGTTTCAGTGAATATTCAGATTGTACTCGTTGAAATTTAAATGAAAGTCATTATTACAAATTGTAGGACGTTAGGTACTAACTATACGTTTTTATTTTACTCCTAACTATTTATTTTTTTGACACAATTTGCCGTTACTGTGAGTTGGGGAAGAATAATAACTTAGCTAATATAACAATTGTGTGTCATATGGTTACAAAAATCTAAGTACAATCTGTGGTGCAATGTTCTAGTTTTTTTCTTTCTAAATGTCATTTTCTGTGTAGAAATGAAACAGAAAAAAGTGACGGTAATATTCTGAGGTTATCCCCAAAACCTTTTTTGGATTAACTATATTTACATTTGCATTGCATTACGGGCAGCTAGTTAATAACAAATTAATATAGGATTAAATTGACCAAAACGTAAGGCGAAAAAATGCACAAAAAATTTCGACCCGGCCCCTTTTCACAATTATTCCATCCGGGCTCCTCTGGTCTAGTCCGACCCTAGATGATATAGGCCATTGTGCTACATTTTTATATAAATTTAATTGCATAGGTGTTGCATCTGTTTTGCTATTTATGTATAAAATATTGTGCATTTGAATGTTTGGACTTTTTGTCTTGTCTAATTTCTGTGTGAGATTCATTTAAATCAGTTTTTAACACAAATTTGTGATGATTCCTTCCAGATGAATGCGGCGCAAGCGGAGGAGAACCGGACAGTGACGAGGACGTCGTCACCAGCTACCCTCAGGTGTACGACGCAGGCGTGCCACCCGAAAACATGCTGCCTACGGCCGCCCCGCGGCCGCCAGCCGGCCCCCTGCCTACCATCAGTGTGACGCCCCACTCCCCAGCCGCGGCAGCTCCACGAACCTATGCCGCTGTTCTCGAAGACAGCCTGCAGCAGGTGCGCGAACTCCACGAGAGCGTGCAGCTTATGAGGAACGCCACTGCTTCCAACACCAGTAAGATACTTTATTTAGGCTGTATTATAGGTGGAAACTAGTTCCTTGGGGGGAACTAGTTTCTTAGTTCTAGTTCCTCCAGAGGAATAGTTCCTTGAACTAGGTCTTAGTTCACATTAGTTCCCGACTAACATTGACATCCCGGTTGCTTGCTCAAGTGTTCCGTTTTAAGTCAGAACTATTCATAGTATGATCTCTATGATTTTTATAATGTACGAAATACAGGGTGAGTCTTAAATAAGTATAAATATTTTTAGGTGTAGTAACCCCAGTAATTTTAACCCCAGGAACACGCCTATGAGGTTTTTTCGCGTTTTTTTGAAGATTTGGAATTTTTTTAGTTTTTAATTAAAAACATAATTTCTTGATAATATGGCAACATAGTGTTGTAGAGCCCTAATTATTTAATAAAAAAATAGTAGCTTTGATAGAGTGCTTAGGGACTGGAGAGAACGCGTTGTCATGGCGTTGCCGCTAACACGGTAGAAAAGATGATAGCTGTCATGTTAAAAAAATATATAATTACAAATTTATTTTCTATGAGATTTCTTTAAATAGTAAGGAGTAGAAAACCATCGTCCGAAGACACAAACGTTAATATGGCGCCCAACGTGGGGCTTGTCACTGGTAGTTTATTTGAAAAAAAAAATATCATTATTGAAGAGAGAAGTAGATTAGATCAAATCATCATTAGATCACTCTGTTGAGTCTGACCTCGACAACGAAAATCGTTTACCTGAAAAATCTAACTGTGTTCAAGAAAACTTAACAGTTCTCCCAATGGAATCTGAAGAATTACCTCAACGTACTCGAATCTTTATCAACTCCAAATTACGAACTCCTTCACCTCGGACAAGTTCAAGAATAAGACACCCAAGACGATAACTTTGTGAAGAACATTAAAGAATAAACCATAGATAAATGAAACAAGTTTAGATTGGAAAGTGCCCATAAGGACAATGTAAACATTATTTGGCGCTATTCTTGCAACGGTCGCGACCCAAAACTTTTGAAAATTTCGGAGCGGTTCGGCTTTTTCCGGAATTATATCGCCAAATATTGTTTATTCAAATTTATTATTATTTTCGTTTAATTTTATAAATAAAATACAGTGTGTTGCATACAAGTAACTTTATTTTATATAAGGACGCATGTATGAAACATTGCCTGGAAACTTATATGCTGAAATTTTGATAAAATAATTTAGTACTCACTAAAAACACGGTACGTCGCTAGTGGTAGGAAAAATAATTTTTAGAGGTTACTAGTTTATTTGGTTGCCTGTGATATGCATATACAGGGTGTTTCCTAATTAATCTAAAAAATAAAAAATCGTTAGAAAACGGCTGAAGGCGGGCTCTTAATAAGTATATTTACTTTTTTCTCGGCAACCGTTTGATGAACAAGAAAAACTCAAAAGATCAATTTTGTTGAAAAAGGATGGCCAGTCAAGAAAAAAATATATTTTCTTTAAAAAAGCAGTAGTGTACCATTTATGTTAAGCAAAATATCGATTTTTTTTTAATTTTTAACACCCTGTAGATCAGAAAGGAAGTACTTTAGACCCAATGGTTATATAAAAATTGTTTTAAGACATGAGGAATCACACCACAATTTTGTAAACTAATTAGAAAAAACCCTGTATATTGTCAACTTGACAATGATTGTTGATAAATCAAAAAATACATTTTCTGTGAAAAAAAAAACGATTTTCGCAGGAAAAATTTTGGTTTTTATTGAATTTGGACCTGCGTCTGCAAATATCGGTATGTTTTTTAATATTCTATCTATCTAAATTTTAAATATCATAGTCAGAAATAGTCTTATTATTTATTAACTGTAAAAATGGTATATTTATAAGTTTTGTCAAATATTGTGATTTACTTTCTACCTTGTAGTCAAAATTTATATTTAATATAAAGTAAAATATATATATATATATTCTTATGTTTTATTAAAGTTACTCTGATATACTAATATATCAGTGCAACTTTAAAACTAAATCCTTTGAAATCAAATATAAACATAAAAAATATTTACAGCAGAAAAGGCGAAGGCGCTGGGTTAAACGTAGTCTCTACTAAGAACACGGAGGGGCGCTTTGACCCAAAATTTTACTATTAAGTTTCATATCTATCTTAATAGAAGATTATTTTCTTTTATCTATGTGTATGAAATACCTATGAAACATTGGTAACCGACGTTATGCCACGATCCACGATAGTTTTTGCAGTTCACAGTTCACAGCACAGCTTTTTAAGTTTTTAATGCCACTTTTTCACAATTATCACCGGTTGGAGTAAATAATACTTGAATTAAACTCACAAGATAGCAATAATTACTTTGAAAATGGATGCTATAAACACTTTTCGAAATTTCTTTAATGAGAGCGGTTTAGATTTTGAAAGATTATTATGATTTTTGAAGATTCTGACTTTGACAAGAGAAAATTATTTCTGGTTTTGTTTGCCGTTGTGCTTAGCGACCGCTATAGCAGCGCCAGATCGCGTATAACGGTCGCGACCTAAAATAATTTCGCGACCCAAAATTTTTACGGGCTTTCCAATCTAAACGTGTTGCATTAAAACTAAACATTTATCTATGGAATAAACTGTGTTTTGATATTGTTAAAGCGAAAATGCAAGACAAAATATATAATTAGTTAATTCTAAGTAAATTTCATAAATGATCAGTTTACTACACGTATATATAACCACTTACCAGTGGAGTTATTTTATTTCCGTTGATTATTTTCCTTGATTTTTGACCGAGATCTACCCTTGATCTACCGCACGCTGCCCAACTAACTATTTTACAGTTCTGTTCGATAAATCGCCAAAAGTGTCACTGTTAATTTAAGTTCCAACACAATTTCCTTCGAGATTAACCACCATTAAACAAAACCAATTGTAGAATGAATAACGTAAAATACGCTCAGTAAAGATAAACAAATCCACTAAATATAAAATCAATTTTATATGGTTCAACTGAAACGCCAAACAGAACCGTCAGGGATGGGGACTGGATAATAGAACTGTCAGGGGATGTCGATGTCGTCCACCCGTGCATGAATATATAGTTTTAGACTCCTTTCTTAATATTTTTTATTCAAATATATGAATTCGTGTCGCGTTGTCCGTCGTTCCGTCACTCCAAACATATTCAAGTAGTATCTGTCATTTTTGAAATAAACCAATAAAATTGCATACAAACCACGACGGATGACGCATTACGGATGCATGTAAATCCACACTTGCATCGCTTAGTTCGGTGATCTATCGGAAATCGGTGTTTCACTTTTGACATATTTGGGTCGTTGCTAGAAGGTTGCCTAGATATTTGCTTTACAGGTTTTGAAGACCACAAAATGATAAATTTTGGTATTTTTACTACTATTTCGCAACTTCGTTGAGCTTTGGGGTAGTCTATTCGAATTTATTCTTTACTAACCTTTGTTGTGGCAACTTCTAAAATATTAAATTGTTACAAAAAATTGTTACTTTCTACAGAGACGTGCAAATGTTATGGTCGACTTACGAGGAACGCCACTGCTTACGGTACTGTGATACCGTATAATCATAAATACGATGATACGAATAAAAACGGCGTCAGCGATGGCTATGAAATGAAGATCGCTGTCATTTTATATGTAAAATTATATGGGAAATGTGTGTCATCGATCGTCATTTCCAAGCCAACTGGACGCCATTTTTTTTTCGATCATACGGTATTTTTCATGCTATATATTTTTTTCAGATTACTCCCACAACCCAAGAGACTTTGTTACTCTTGCTCTGAATCCTTTACTGGCCCAGGTTGCTAGGCTTAGCGCTAGCTGTCCAGTGCTGAATGAGGCTGGACAGGAACCTGAAACGTTGGGAGGTTCTCTGGGATCCTCTCCCTTACACCAGCCTCCAAGTCGCAAAGGCAGTGGTAAGTACAATCCCTTACTTTCTGTTAAAAATAATAGTCTTCTTTTCACACACTTATTTTTGTTGAAAGTCAATCAGTTCTTGTTCATAATCATGATAGGATTCAAGTACTACCTCACGACTATCAATCCTATCACGACTACCTAACAGGTGTAGTCAAGATAAGTCAGTTATACAATTAAATACCGTATGATCGAAAAAAACTGCGTCTAATGGGCTCTTTCACTATATTTTGGAATTAGCATAATTGAATAAAGCAATTAATTCTAGAATTTTCTGCTATCTCACTTTCGAAAAATTTGAAGTCGTTCTTAAGAAAATAAATAAAAACAAAAAAGCCCAGAATAAAAATGCGCACTTTATTTTTAATACGTCACACTTGGCATGTTGAAAAGCGGCAACACGGCTGCGGCCGGGCCACCATGCTGACCCATCACCACCTCCACACAAGGCCTGTGGAATTGCAAACACTTACCTACCATAGTTTAGAATTTACTGCACGTTTGATAAATATATACTATTATGGACAGTATAGGAAGTTACTTGTCTTAGTAAAAGCCTTGGTAAATGCTCTTCGAATTATAAACTACACTGGCTTGGGTCAAAAAATATGGAATATTTTTCTATGTTTTGCAGCATTACACAAATGGGAATAAATTTAAACTATAATAAAGTCTGTCCAACGAGAAGATCCTTGACAGTGATAGATATGTCTGTCATTTTAATTTCAAAGTAGTTTATTTTATTTTACAAAGAAATAAGTTGGTACAACTGGAACGCATAGCAGGAAATATTTAAAATTTGATTGACAAGATGACAAGTGATTACTTCAAAATATTGTGAAAAAAAACTGTATAAAACTGAAAAAATGTAATCGAGTTATTTTATTTAATAAAAACGGTATGTGTTAATACAAAACAAACAAGAACAAGACACTACATACCAAAAAAATATAAAAAAAGAACTATTATTTACTTTCAAGCTTTATGAAACTACCCGCATTTATGATTATATTTATCAATATAACTTATGTACAAATATAAATTTGTAATATTCCACAGGAATAAATAAAACAACATAGGTAAATAAAACAAACTATTTTATTAATAATAACACCTACCAAATTTTATACCTTAAAGGTTGATTAATTAACTTTAATCTTAATTTTTTTAAACCAGTACCTTTATTTTTCTGCAGTACTAAAATCCATTATTTACCTATCGTGTGATGTCGATATTTTACAGCTACTCCAGTTTTTAGTATGTGTTTTATTTGATCCTTCTACCATATACGAGATGCACTTATCTACGACGAAATGGTATACAAACTTTATCGATGGCAACTTCATTGGTGTATAAGACTTTCTGCCTGGGCAGCGAATATTAACCATAAACTGTGCTCTGGGTCTACAGTTAATTTTCTCTCGATTTTTCCTCCACTTGACTTCAAAAGACACAAAACACACGTAATAATACGAATCAAAATGCATCATCTTCCAAAACGCAGGGTATTTAACAAAAGTTGACACAAAATTATAACCTATAATTTAGCAAGACTTTGACAAGCGTCAAAAATGACAAAAATCTAAAGGCGAGTTCATACGCATCGGCGTCCGTTTGTCGTTCATCGTTCCGTCAAACCAATAAAATTGAAATACGATCTGTCATTTTTTAAATAAACCAATAAAACTGGTTAAAAACAACAAGACACGACGCATGACGGATTTATATTTAAACCCATCCATAGATAACTTAAAAATTATTAGAAACTTTTTTTAGTAAAATAAATAGATTGGTATGGGACGTCATCTGCTGTTCTTCTGTCATCGTCTGTCGAAATCTTACCTGAGAAAAAAAACAGAGTATAGGTGAGGATAAATAAAAAGTATAATATGTGTTTCAAGATTTTATATAGAAAAAAAACTAAATACCTTTTTGGGGATTTGTAAGTAAAACTTACGCTTAGCTTAGGTTTCTTTACTCTTTCTCTTTACATAGGGCATTGTCTTTGTGGTAACGACGTCAACCATTTTTTACGAAGCTCGTCATTTTTGGGGAATATAAAAGCAGAAACCTTGGGACCCTCTATAATTCCCGTGACGTATTGTAAGTAACCATTGTAAAGTACTATGCAGACTGGCGGCGAAGGCTTTTTATTTAGTTGTAATATCTTGATAAATACTTCTAGTTCTTACCTTAAAATAATTTATAATAGAGGAGTACGGCAAGCACAAAAGTTTGAAGTTCTCTATGTGGAATGTCTATTTGGATATTTATTACACTGTGTGTTATTTTATCACAATTTTCTGATCACACCATGCACTGAACACTAAGAACTAAACAAACGTGTTGCAGAAGCACAACAAACTAGAGATAATTAATTATTTCTGGTATGCAATCGGAACGAGAAACCACTACCGGCTTTTCAGGTTAAAGGTAAACAATTTAATAATGCGCTGCCTTCGCCGCCATATTTGCCTTACCCATATCATCTTGATTGGCCTTGAGTTGAGGTGGTGCTGGTCAAATCAAATTGCAATGTTGCCAGTTGTTGGCTGGCGCACGAGTACGGTTCTTCAATGTGATTGGGTGTATTTTTCATACGTCATCAATTGGCGCTTTAAACTTATTTCAAATTAAAGCAATTTTGAGGGCCTATAAAAAAATTATTCAATGTCGTGGAACTATTTTTTTTGGATAAATATACTGAAAATAGTCTTCTATTTCAGATTTTGTCCTTGAATTGGGTATTTTATTTTTTGTGAAAATTGGCTTGGAAATGACGATCGATGACATTCTCCATATAATTTTACATATAAAATGACAGCGATCTTCATTTCCTAGCCATCGCTGACGCCGTTTTTTTTCGATCATACGGTACCTTTGATTTCGCTGTAGTTTGTCTTAGATTTCACATAGTTTATTTTCTAAAGCAAGGGTATATTTTAGGGGCTCAAGATTGGTTATCACAACCTGAGACTCAAAGAAGAAAATCATGGACAGCACTGGAAGATTTATCTGGCGCTGGCAAAGTGAAACATACTCGACAAAGGAGGTAATATAGTTTTGTTATACATATATTTAGGGTTATACGGTTCTACATTAATTTTAGTTATTTCATTTTAAATCTACATATTTTGTACTAATAATGACTAATAACATTTTTATGAGAATGTTTACTAGTTTTTACGAGCCTTATAAATTGCAAGCGTGTATAAAATACAGAATATGGATAATTAAGGTATTTTTTCCGTTCATATAGTGATAAAATTCTCGATATTGATAAAACTATTGTTATTTACTGTTTAGAAGGCGTAGAACCCCCTGATATAGGCCAATGTGCCCTTACGATTACGGTGTAGTTCTGGCCCAGCTTTGTCCATTATTAAAAATCACTCAAAAATCAGGGCTAAAAATTGAACTTCTCATAAAAGCGAAGTATCTAACTCTTATTTATATACATATTCCAAACCAAATATATTACAAGAATGTATTGCTAGTAAGGAACAGAAATTGAAGCCAAATTTTTGAGATGGGGCTATACAAAATCCACATAAGTCGTTCAACAGCTTTGAACTACGCAAGCGTGAAAAGAGCTTCGCGATTAATTGATTTATTTTATACTAACCAATAGAAGTAGCTTTCAGAGTTTCTATCTACTATGTAAATCAAGTTAGCAAGTTAGCGTCTTACTGTTCGCGTCTTTACTTACAGACTTAAATTTAATCTCTGAAATATTTAAACAAAAACAAGAAACGGATAGATATGAATACCTAAAATAACAGGTTGAAATAATGCCATTGCGAGAAAAAAAAAATATATATTAGAGTTTAAAATAGTGCGCAGTCAGATGCAGCCGGTGGCAACGTTCAGCGATGAAGTAGACGAATCAGATCGTTTTATTTGGCGCGTACAAAAATCCTGTTCAATCAAAAGTATAGACTTATGCAAGATTGATATTCCCATTTCTTTTCTTTGGCTTCACTTTTCACTCATTGTGTAAATGCGGTACTAATAATATATTTGTTATAGAGATAGGCGTAGAACTCGGAGATATTCGCCATTGTGGTCATATCCCAACTAGCATTTATTGTGGCAGATACGTTACTGCTACTATCAAAGCCACTACAAAGTGGGCGGTGACCATCGGCGGCTACGTCGTATATTCGTAGCTGCTAAGTAACTGCGACCAAAATGGGGAAAGATTTTGAGTAGCCGGGTAGTTTTTGCTACTAAAAGATTTACTATGATGTGTTACTATAAAGTAGCCTGCTGGTGAATGCGACTTATCCGTTACGAAGCTGCCTAGTCGCGGGTTCGTGGCAGCCAAGTGTTAGCCACCGACATAAGGAACTTTCGTGAAACTGTTGAACTTTATTCGCAGCGACCTCTTTATGCAATTTCACATTTCATAAAAATAAATGTCATGATGGAAAATAATTATGGCAGCCATTATTATTTTTTCGTTATTTGTTATTTACCGTGCGATTTTAACGCCTTTTTTTAGGTAAATTCCAGAACGCAATCAACTTTACTGAATAAAATAGTGGGTTTAGATAACAAAATTTTCGAGCGCCTCTTAAAATATTTCATATTATTATATTATTTGCAATAGAAACTCATGTTTGTAATAAAAAAATAATAATAATTTGCTTGAAACCGGGGCCAAACTTTAAAATATTAGTCCACCGTCAGAAATAACAAAATAACTAAGGAAAAAAGCTTTAATCTAGGTATATTTAGCTTAAAAACGCATAATGTTTGAGCCATTTGGCTGTTCGTCTAAAAATTCATGAAAAAAATATGGCCGTTTAATCCGAAAAATACTTTATAGTTCCATATGCTTCCGCAAAGTACCGGGAATAATAACATATTAGGCCAAACCTACCCGTTTGGATCTTTAAAATCTTCGGATTGATAAAGTGCCAATTGTAGCTATCCAAAGGCGACTTTATAGAAACAATACCTTTTTTGGAACTACATAGTCAACGATTCTTTGGAACCATAAAGTGATTTTTCCAAGAAAGTTCCCTGCGCCACCAAATTGCCGCTTAATTGGAGCGTTTCTACACCGATCGCGGTGGTGGCGACTGTACATTCCATTGGTGCCACTATAACGTTCCGCCTTGTCCTTTGAAGTTATTTTTTACTTATTGTGCATTTTCTATTATTAGTGTTTCTATATTATTCAGAGCTACTTGAGGTATAGAGTATTTTAACGCCCACTCTTTTAGCTATTGTTTTATATTGTTGGTTCTCAAATTAGTTCTCCTCTGAGATTCAGTTTCAGATGAACTAACACTACACTCATCTACAGAAACAGCTTCAAAAATGTCTCAGTCTCTACCTGATTTATGATGTTCATCAGTAGGATTATAGAAAGATGAAGTTTTTGTTTCTGATGTTGATGCATCGGCTCGCAGTGATTCCTTTTGTTTATAATCTACGTTGGTTTTGTCATATTAAAAAATTACATCAAAATGTAATAATAATTGAAAAAATTGCAAATTGATCGTGATCAGTTCATTTCGCTCTGAAAAATTAACCAAGGTATGTATTGACATGATTCAAAAAACAAAATGCCCAGGAGACATGGTTCTGACCGCAAAATTATATTGTAGGAAAATTTACACACGAAATTATTGTACAGGGTATTTTAAAGTTAGGGTAAATAAACAACCCGACGATTAACCCTGTATAATTGCGAAATACTAAAATTTATAAAAAAACTGAGTTTACGAATTAAAGTTGATATAATTATATACAGTTTGTTAAAAAAATTATGAAAATAGGGCTAAAAATGACAAAAATATAACACCTTAAATTTAACCAAAAATTTCTCTGTTGCGTTTTTTTGCATCTGAGTGTACAATTTACTCAAAAGGTAACAGGCACTAAGGCCACGGCCACATAGAAAGGGAGTAGAGCGTTTTGGCGTGTAAGCGTCATTTGCCCAACCAGGAAACAAAATAACACGAACATATATGAGTGGCCTGACCAAAAGTCTACACGCTTAATAATATATAAAAATGACGACGCTTTAATCGCTTTACACGTTAAATCACTTTGCTCGCTTTCTGTGTGACCGTGGGCTAATAGTAGGTATAGTCGTGTTGTATGAGAATATAGTGTCCGCTTTGGTCAATGACTAAAGAATACAAAGACACGTAACGCACATATACGGGCTGCAGCCGAATTTGTGATGTTAGACGCCATCTTTTTGGATGAGTCATCAGCTGGTCATTAGCGACAATTGTGCCACGGTACTGTTTGGAAGTATGGTAACAATTTGGTCACGGGTGTTATTAGTCTTTGTATTTTTAGTCATTGGTTTTGGTTATATTTCGTTATTTATATTGGGATTTTTATTAAACTAGTATATCTTTGAGTTCGATGGAATCGGAAGCAGACGAGTCTTCTCTGATCGACAACGTAGATGGTAGTACGGTTAGGCTGTTAGGTCCCGACGCACCTATAATAATCAGACATAGGACCAGGGCTTCCACAGGTGGCGCTAGTACGCATTCTTTGAACGAAGCAGACCTACAGGTATAAAGAATATACCATTTTTGCAGTTTAAAAAATATAATATAGACATATTTTAGATGCCTTTAATATCATGTGTTTTTTTGTCATTTGTTTTGAAATATTTTAGAATGACTTCAATAAAATCAAGGCAAAACGCGAGGCTGAACAGCTACGTCTGCAACCCCAAAGACTGCCTCTGCAGAAATCAGTGTCTACGCCCTCTATTATCGCTGTCAGAGATTTGGCCCCTGAACCTGCGTTAGTCGGTGGTCAGCCCACTCTTCCCATGTAAGTTACTCCAAATATTTATCTTTTAATTTAATTTTTGTCTGTTTTTCGTCATTTTTTAAAGCACTATTTTTTATTCATTATTCACTGTTTTTAAATTATATTAATTATGAAATTGCCTGAAAATTTTTGGGACTGGATTAGGAATTTTCAGACAATTTTTTTAATGTTTTGTGCTTAGCTTTTCTTTTTATTTATTTTCACTTAGTGATGGACTCGTTTTTTTTTATTTCTATGTTTTTGGTTATTTATGTAAAAAAAATATTAAAGTTTATATATATAAATTTAAAATTATTTTGAGGTGTTTATATAAATATAATCTAATATAAATCTGTGATGTTTTACTTTTCATTTCTTTTTTAAATAATTGAGAATTATAAGCGGAAACTTTTTTAAATATTCCTAAAAAAAATAGGCAAAAATCTCTGGCAGAAAAAAATAATTTAACGTTAAATTAGAAAATAATTAACAGGACTCTAATTTTTGAATGCATATGTTATCCTTTTTTTATTATTTACACTAAATAAAATACTAAGGAAGAACAGAATTATCGTCGAAAGGTCGAGTCGTTGAAAGGGTTTTAATATGGCTGATTTGTCCGGTTTTTCAGATGCGTTCGACATACCCTAGTACTATTCTGAGCTTGTCACTCATTATTCCAGAAAAAAAACATAATTTTTTTGTCTGGCCAAAAGAAACTCTCTGCTATTTTTAAAAAAATTAACTCATTCTGTTATTTAACTCTGAAAATTTTAAAAAATTGCAATATTTTGAGAGCCGCTGGCAGCAATCGATAATCAGGGGCAAATACCCAGCAATTACCCCTTAATTGCCCGCATCTCCGCTTGTTCAATGTCCAGTGTTGACACGTTCACTACAAAGATTTAAAAACGACTTGGAAAATTCAGATTAAAAGTAAAAAACTGACTTAACATTAGAAAAAGGGATAGATAGCAATCGATGTAATTAGTGATGTAGAGCGTCGTTTTATTACTTTACCTAAAACAAAACAACATTTCATTTCACTGCGATTCTTGGCATTTGCCATTCTTAACATATGCCATCTGAATTATTTGGTATTATTTTTTTGAACTCCTCTGTTGTTCTATCTCATACTCTTATTTTTGTGAATAAACAACAAAATAATTGATATTTCTATTAAATACTAAAACTGTTTTACAGGCTTATCTCACATTTGCTTATTTTTTATTTTTTTCTCAGAGGTTTACTGTGTAGAGTAAAATCTCAAATGAATTAGATACCTAACCTAAAATTCAACCAGGTGATCTGTTTAAATCCGATATTCAGTTTAATGTTCAATAGATGTGCGGGTATGGGCGAGTCTGCGTAAGAATGTGTTGGATAAAATACTGTTAAAGCTTGATTTTCATGCATCCGTTGTCCGACGATACGATGATATGATATCAATTTTATTGGTTGAATTAAAAGGCTTCGATTGGTTAACCGTTTCTAACCTATCGAATACTTTAAATTCAACCAATAAAATTAATATCGTATCATTGTATCGTCGGATGACGGATGCATGAAAATCAAGCTTAAGAGTAAGCACAAGCACTATCAAAATATTTATACGTTATAACTGTTGAAGGCAACTATTGACAATATTTCCTATTATGGCGAAAAAAGCTGCTGTAACTGTTCATTATTTAGAATTTCATTATTTCAGTTAGCTAAACTAGTATAAAAAAGGTATTTAAAATAATAGATCTTGCACTATACCTAATAGTAATGTACTATTTTTAAACAATCTACAATGAATAAATTTGAGTTTTTTTTGTCGAAATTTAAAAATCTGGACTTATAACCATATTTATGTACTAAACCACGCCGTATATCCGGGTAAAACTATGTAACCATTTAATTATTTAAAATATTAAGTCATTTCATCTACAATCATATTAAGCATTTTTTATCCACGTTTAAAGTGATATTTTATAAGCTAGTAGGATAAAATAACTTTATTCTACTAATGGAATTTATTAACATTATTATTTATATTAATCGTCGGAACGAATTTCAAATTCGAACAGCTGAAAAAAGCGCGAACGAAAGCCGTACGAAGCTGTACGAAGTGGTACGAATGAACAGCTTATGCTCTGATTAGTTTAGTTATCCGATCGATAATTAAAAATTCACGCTTGCGCACAACGCTTGTGCTCCACTAACTGAGCGAAGATTTATATACCCATTTCACCGGCTCGGCTTCAGAGAATGCAGTTTGGAGTCAATATACGTTAGTTAATATATTTATGCTTATAACTTATAAACATACAGAATGTGGATATCGTAGGAGGTGGTAACATTGCATTCTCTGAAAGCACTAGAAACAAATTTCGGAAATTGAACAAGCGGTACACAAAAGTTTTTCAATATTTTCCGGAAAAGGTCAAGAAAAATATAAAATTTTCAAAATTTTTTTTCGCCACAAAACTCATGGGCGTGTTTCTGGGGCCCAACTAGACTACCAGTTAAAATGCAAGTATTTTAACTTAGTTATGGGATACCCTGTATAATTACTTACTAGTGAAAAGTTGTTCTTTGGTATTTTTCATTTTTCTGGTTCCCACACCAGAATCATTCCCAAACGATCGCACGCTGCTCGGGTTATTATTTTTGAAATTCCTTTCTAAAGGCCCCCACAGACTTTAGAATCGCGATAGAAAATGAACAAAGGATTATCGCGCTAAAATCCCCAAAAACCTGTATGAATATGGCGCAAAACTCTCGTGACAAAAATAAAGCATCGTGTCGCATCGCGGTAAAAATTTTTGTTTGTGCTTGATTTTTTGAACAACGCAAGGGTTTGTCGGTTGATGGGCGTTGCCAGGTCTAGGGAATTTTCCGTAGATCTACAGAAATTCAAGGTTGTGAGAGGAAGAAAAATGATGTTGAAGGAAATTTGAAGGGAGAAATAAATTAAGATATAAATTAGATTTTTTTTTTCGTTCAAAATCGCGACTTTAATCGCTTTCTAAATTGAACGAAGTCTGGGGGGGCCTTAAGATTTATAACAATCTCACTGTAATTCCGCAGTCCTAACCAATGTCTTCTAAGATTGTACACTTTGTATAAAACCGAATTACAAAATGAACATAGAAAGGCCTACCAGGTTTGTGAGTGATTCAAATCAAGAATGAAGTCACACAGAACTGATAAAGAACAATTTCAGAATGATTACAATAACGTAGCTTGTAGCTTCCGTCTTTAATATATGAATGTAAAGATTGTATTTGACTCTTTCCTTAGACGTTTTATTCAATGATTATTTAAGAATAGGATTTGGAATTGTATACGACTTTGACAGCCGAATGGACAGCTGACATACAAAAATTAATATCAGAAAATAACTTTTGAGTGATAGGCAACTGTTCATATTATTTTTAGACATCCTTTTGTACGAAATATGTCACATATAACTTTGATATAAACTTATTTCCGTATATTATACGGGTCTTGGAAAACACATAATAAGTTAATTATAAAGACTGTCAGAGATTCTTAATACCCCAAAACTATCCGGTGCAGTCCATATTTAAAAATATATACTATACCGATCTGGTCATGGAAACTGCGTGGTCTGGATTTTAACGTGAAAGACAGTGGTGTAGACAGCTTAAATGAAAAATTATATGTTTTAAAAAGAGATAAAAGTTAGATTGATACATTATTTCTTCTATGCACAAGTAGGTGTTTAGGTAGTTCCAAACCGCACAAGTAGGTGTTTACGAAAAATATTGCATCTAGGGATGGAACTTTAATTTTTACAATTAGTTACTGATTTTACTACAGTTGTAATGGATTCTTAAGCAACTGTCTAACAGACATGAGCATTATTGAATAGCTTAGATATATTATCTTCGTTTATTATTTTATTTCTCGTACGAACTGGTAACACTGTATGCCGATTTTTATTCTATCTGTCGGACTGGTGATCGTTTATATTTATCTCTGTCGCATGCATTAAAGTACAGACCACGGAAATAAAGTGACCAGGGCTAGTATAAGCTAGAGCAGAGTGTAGTGCATGTGCTTAGCTTGGTGTGTAGGGGCAGACCCAGTGGCACCGAGAGCGAGACAGAAGAGGAAGGCAGCCGCTCCAGCCACGCCCACTACGACATCCATTTCAAGGAACACCTTCACCAGTAAGTAAAACCCTTGCGGCATGTTTAGCTCTATTTCTCTCTAGCTTTAGATGTATTATACTTTGTATTATTTATATTTTTATAGTGTATTTTCTAGTTGATTTAGTAGTTTCCTTCTGAATACTTTAGAATGGACATTGTCTTGATACTGTTTTCGTATTTTTTAAATAGTTTAGAATTTTTCTGTATCTAGTATTTTATTAGTATTATTCCGGTTCCGTGGGTCTTTTTTGACACACTTAACTAATTTATTATAGAAATAAAAAGTAACTAAAATTAGCAAAAATTATTATTCAGAAAAAAAAACATCGTATTGATAGATAAATTAGATGGAATCCACACAAAGATTACAGACGGTATTTTCAGTAGTAGCATGTTACAAAATTCAAGATCAAGCATTAGTTTATTCATATTAATATGGAGTCAAAACACATAGGTAATTTACATGTAACATTAACCGATTTAAACGAATTATTTATGATATCGATCGATAATTTGTTATAAAATGGTAGCGTCTTAAAATAGAAGTTGTTAGCCAGTTTATTTTTGGTAAAATTGTTTTTGCAATGTTACAGTATCGCATACGATCGGCATTCGGAGAAGAGACGGAAACGGGGAAGTTTGTTTTTCAGAAAGAAGAAGGTAAGAAGGTCTTTTAACTGTTTAAAATTTATTTCAATTTTATATTGTTTTTCAGGACAAAACCAAGAAGTTTGCTCATCAATGGGTATCAGCCTGCTATGGATCCTCTCAAATATGCGATCTGTGCAACAAGCCGTTGAGTAATAAACCAGCCTTATATTGCGAAAGTATGTAGTTACAGATGTTTTAGTATAAAACAACATAATATTTAATCTATGAAACGTATTTCTATAGCTTGTGGAACGACAGTTCATCAGAACACTTGTAAGGATAACATTGTTGAATGCGTCAACGTAAAAATCAAAGGTGCTAAAGTAAGTAGTAATACAGAGTATCTCTTAAATAAGTACAATTACCATTTGTTTTAAAATATGTATATTGAAAACAATATAATAGTTATTTTTAGCCCTATTATATATCCATGATTTTTTTAGCAAACTGTATATAATTTTATCAACTGTAATTCGTAAACTAAGTTTTTTTTATAAACTTGGGTATTTGGTATATTATACAGGGTTAATCGAAGGGTTGTTTTTTACCTTAATTTTAAAACACCTTGTGCAATAATTTCGTGTGTCAGTTTTACTAATATATCTTTTTACGGTCAGAACCATGCCTTTTGAGCAATTTGGTTTTTGATTCATGTCAATACATACTTTGGTTAATTTTTAAGAGCGAAATGAACTGATCACATTATTATTACTTTTTGTTGTAATATTTTAATATGAGTTGGTTTTGGTGATTATTATCGTAATTTCATATTACGCTGCATTGGATACTCTATACTAAATTTAAAAAAAACGGTAAAGACTAACGATAACATAACTAACGATATTAAAGAAAACATTTGTAATACTCAAGTATACAAACAGAAAAAAATTGTATAAAATACCCTAATACTTTGTATTGCCTCCCTTACTATTGACTCCCTATAACTGCCTGTATACGTTTGTTTACGCTGTCATTCAGGCTGCATATATCATATTGCGTTAGGCTTTCCCATGCTTTGTTATTGATCAATCGAAGTTCATTTAATGAAGCTGATATTATGATTTAATGAACCTTCGCGACCTCTAACCCTCCTGCCAAGCATTTCCCAAACGTCGAACATGATAGGCACTTCATAGTGGTATATAGTTCACAATAATCACCAAAGCTGCCTTATCATATTGAGAAATAACTTCAAAAGAAATGATAATTGAAAAAATTGCAAACTGTTGGTGGCAAGTTCATTTCGCTCTTAAAAGTTAACTAAGGCATGTATTGACATGATCCAAAAAAAAATGCTCAGGAGATATGACTCTGACCGTAAAATTATATTTTAGTAAGATTTACACACGAAATTGTTGCACAGGGTCTTTTAAAGTTAGGGTAAAAAACAACGCTTCGATTAGACCTGTATAATATGTCAAATACCAAAGTTTATAAAAAAACTGAATTTACGAATTAAAGTCGATGTAATTATATACAGCTTACTAAAAAATTCATGAAAATCGGGCTAAAAACAAAAATATAACACTTTAAATTTGGGCAAAATTTTCTCCTTTCCGTTTTTTGCATGTGAGTGTATATGTTACGGTTACTGTTAAAGTCCTATGTCCGGTGAATGTCGACATTAACAGGTCAATGTTTGGGTTTGATTATGATTTTGGTTGTTTTGTTGTGTGTTATTCTCAAGATTAACCGGGTAATGTCGACATTAACCGGACATCGGACCTTAACCGTAACATACACAGGTTGTTTATCTGTTTATTACTCGCGGCAAGAGCTTTATGGTTGAAATATGGCAACCTCGGCCCGCTCGTCGATGGACGACGCGATGGGACGAGTCGGCAGAAAACCCTATAAGTGCATGCGTTCTCAATAGGCAGTGTTGCCATTCTGTTCCCCTATAAGTAACTGTCCAGTTAACAACCTGCATATGAAGAGCACACTGCAAAAACGATGAAAGTCCATTTTTTGCTAATTTGGTTTTAATGCCTAATATTTTCCGTCAAAAAGCTACACTTTTTGGTACCTATTTAAACGGGAATATCGATACCGGTCACATAGAAGCAGGCATTTAAAAAAGGGAAAAACTATAATATGCGCAATTTAGATTAAAAAAAAATTAAACAGCTATGTTTGCCTGCGACGGCCATATTGGATCGATGTTGACAGGTCGTTGGAATGCCTCATATACATATCAAATACTTTTATTACTTTATAAATATATGGTTTGCCTGTGACGGCTATATTGGATCGATTTTGACAGGTCGTTGGAATACCTAAATTAGGCATAAACCAACCAAAGATAACCTAACAACTAAAACTGATAAATGCAAAAAGTTTATAAATACTGAACTGAACTGAAATTCAACCCCAGAGTTTATAAATATAATTTCTCACTCTGCAACAGTTTTTTTTTAATTTATCAGAAGTTGTCAAGAAAAAATGTAATTTTTAACATTCTTTTTTTGCAAAAAAATCTTATCAGCATGTTTCTGGGGTCGAATATCATACCAATTAATATATTTGTGTTCATTTTATCGCCCTGTTAATTAAAAATATATTTTTTCTTTAATATTATTCTTATTTATTTTTTATGATAGCAAAAATAATAAAACAAACATGATTTTTCTTTGCAGAGTGCAAGTAAGCTGAGTGGATTTGGAGTACCTTTAACTTCAGGAAAAAATCTGACTTCGAAACGAGGTTCAACATCCGTTCCGAACTCCATGAGTACTTCTTCAAGGTAAGCCTTATGTCGGCTAGTGTAGTATCAGTATTATTTTAGCTGGCAAGGGGTAATGTAAAAAGCCAAAAAGAAGATAAAAAATCTGTTTTTTTTATTCCAAATGCTTTATATTCATTTGGTGGTTCGGATAATTCAAAGACAAATTAATCCTTTAAATAAAATGCCAAACTCTTTCAGTTGCAATCATACAAATACATAATTTACTTTTTATCTTTGCAGATCATTTTGTATATTTATATAAAATTTGGAAATGTATACCGATGTGTAAAAAGAATATGTTTTCTGTGTAGAATTTTGAAATTTGTGTTTTTAATTTATCTATTTATGTTAGTAGAGTTGGCAATTGGCATGTAAAGAATTTCGAAAACTTTCAAATACTACTTGTACTTTAAAACCTGCATTTTCTCTTCGATACTATATAGAGTCTACCTCAGTGTTTTATTTCCTGATTTGTTTTTTTAATCGTGTAAAAATGTTTTAACTTGCGTTAGAAACTAGAACTTTTAGACGTATACTAGATGTATTAAATTATTTTATTAGACAGGTAAATCTGATAAAATGGTGACTAATATTGTACATAATTTTATTACTAAAGTCTATTAATGATATTTATTTTATTTACAAAAGGTTTCTTTACACTTGTTACTTTTCGTAAGCGTTTTATTTACGCTTGATTGTTACTTAATAACTGGCTAATCTTAACATTTTAGTGTAAAGTAATCAGTATACATGTTGTACTCACAATATACTTGTTTTTTCCTACTTCCTTCTTCATCCTGCCAAGCTTTGTAGCCTATCTCGCTTTTTATGTATGTATGTTAATTTTATTTTGTGTAGACCGCTCAAGTAGCGTTAGGATTGTTGTTGTTTTTTTATAATAATTTTTTGTTGATAAAAGCTCACTTTTTATTCTCTTTAACTTTATTGTTTTATGTTAACGATACTGTCGTTTATTATCAACCAAAAATTATTCAATCATTGAATGTCATTTGATTGTTCTGTTTGGTAAAATATGATACTGATACTGGGTGTGGCTAATTTGTTCCCCACCCCTCCTTTATAGGAGGAGCCAGCTGTGCTATTCGCCATGGCGAAGAGTCGCCACCAAACTGGGAGTGAAGTAAGTTTCCTAGCCTAACCTCATCCCCTAGTCACCAATGTTGCCAACTATTGTTTTGCAAAGTTTTTTTAGCAAATATCGTATATCAGTGATTAATATTTTCTATTAGTTTTTGTTTTATAAATTTATAAAGTTATTTGTGATTGAGCTCAATGATAAAAAGTTTTACTAAAAAATAAAAATCTATAAGAACACTGAAATATTGGTTATAGTTAGCGGTAAAATGACTTTCTTTGATCTTTTAACTTTCTTAACTTTAAATTTAAGAAAAAAAATCAGCTTTTAAATCTAAACTAAAGAGTGCACTTGTAAAGAATTCTGCCTTCGCCTTCAGTGGTTAGGTTAGGTTAAGTCATTTGACATTCTCTTTTTGGGGCACACAACTGAGCTACAATTACATACTATGTATTAACAAATTACATTATTCATAAATGCCATTATTGAGAATACATTAAGGGTGTGTTTCATGTAGATAATATTCTTTGTTAGCCGTTCTGTAAATATAAATGTGTCAAATTACCATGTATTTGTTGCGTATATACTGGAGTTTAGTTACTTGTAGAAGTGAAACATCTTTACGCGCGTTGGGAGTAAAATTCAAGGCCGCGACACACGAGCTAGCATCAGGAAAAGTGGCAACGATAGTGTTGCCACAACTACCCCATTTGGGGTAGATCTACCCCTTTGTAAAACAATTTAACCCGCTCTGGGTAACGATCTGTGCCATATGCGGCTAAGAAAATCACTAAATTAAACTTAAGACTGTACCTGTGAACCAATATCCTCTAGTTGTGTGGTAGAAAGTAAATTTTCATGCATATTTTCATTATAGGTTTGTAGCTTCTGAATAGCGGTCTATGTAAAGCATCTAGCTCAGTTTAAAAAAGGAGAAAAAAGACTCAAAGTCCCGGTCTCAAGGTTTATATAATGTTAAGCTGTTACACGTGTTTCGCTCATATACGAGCATCATCGGACAAATACAATTAAAATTAATCCAAATACACGTTCACATTTTACATATTAGAACAACACTAACTTTTTTAATTTGAACCAGGTCTCTTTGAGAAGAATGGACGCCTTCTTTAAATCTAGCTCAGTTATGGTTGCCAGCTTGGAATTAGAATTATTAGGGTTAGTAACTCACATTTTCATTGGAGGATACTGTCATATTTATTTCAAACCAATAATCAACGAGAATATTCGTATAATTTAACAAAATTTCTGTAAACCACTATAAACACGAATTGTTGGTTAGGTTTAACATTTTTTCTCTTCTTAAATAAATTTGAGCGTTAACATTAGGCATTTGCATAAAAGTGTGTATTTTGGGTGGTATTCCACAAAATTTGCAGGCTATTGAGGAAACAGGAAATGTACAGATTAATAAATTGAAAATAATATTTATATTAAAACAGCATTATAAGTAGTGATGCAAAAAACCGATTAATTTCAATAATCGAGTACTCGAGTTTCAAGCGATTGAAATAACGGAGTGATCGCCCGAGTGGAATATCACTCGTATTTAAAAATACGGTTTTCTACCCGTCGCGCGTCGTTTGTTGTAAGTACTCGTTAACGCCAAGCGCCAAGCAGTAAGTTGCGTGTGCAGGACACATATTCTTTCGGTGATGAATGGCAAGTAGCAAGCGGCGAGCGATTCGCTTGATCGCTTGATTTAGTTTATTTCAAAGCATTGTCGATGTAGGTCGTAAAATTTTGTCCCTCAGATACGCAACGGATAAATATATACAGAGAAGACCAGGCTACTACGAATTTACGTTTACCCGATTTGCGTTCGTTCTCGAGATTCACTGCCGGCTAGTCGGCTGGTCAGGCAACATGGTACAAAGAAAACAAGGTATGATCGATAGCGGCCCCAATTTCGTTAAATTTGCGCATACCACCTATGGCGTCATACACCATACAAAAAATATCCATATTGTTCAATTGCCACTAATAAAAAAAGACCTAAAATAGGGAAGAATTAGGACATAACCCCAAAAGTTAAGTCAAATCATCGAGCTTGACATTTGAAAAATTATTTTCACATTTTGACACAATCAAATTTTACAGATGACACAATCTGTTTGACAATTTGAAATTGGCGCGCAGAGCTTGCCGACCAATGGTGCCGTTTATCACCTGTGACGTAGTGACCAACCTGCGCAATATCATACCTTGTATTTTTTGTATCATGGTCAGGCAGTACGTGCTTGTGGACGGGTCGGTCGTGACAGATTAGGAATACGACGCGAGGAGTGCCGAGTATTTATTATTTTCATTTGTGTTTACCTTCACTTAAGGTAACATTTAAAATAAAAATTCTTAAATATTTATTATTTGAGTGTGTTTGCAAGCGAAAACTAAAAATAAATAAATTCTCTAAACCCAAAAAAAACTAATTACCCTAAATAAAAAAAAAAGTTATAACAAGGGTTCAAAAAGACCACCTTCTTGTGCTAGACAGAAGCCTAGGCGGTCGTAAAATCCCCGTCTGACATTGGCTAACATATTAGGGCTAATAGTTTGGAAAGCCTCTCGTATTTTTACTTGAAGCTCATCCAGATTATTAGCCCCATTATGGACCATACACTTTGGATTTTACATAATCCCACAAAAAGAAATCATTGGGAGAAAGATCTGGTGATCTAGCGGGCCACAAAATAGTTCCATATCCACTAATTATACGGTTGGGAAAAGTATTGTTCAAATATTCTTGAACAATACGCGCATTGTGGGCAGGGCAACCACCTCGACAATTTGATTACTTGCAAACGTGGGAGTTTGATCCGCGGTAGCACAAATGAACACTTGCTTTAACTCCTGTTCTTCATTAATCAACATATCAGGCTTTTTGTGTTTTTGTGGGGACACGCACCCATGTGTTTCAAAATTATTATTAATAACTCCTGATATAGTAGGTAAAGATGGAATTGGCCTGTTTACAAAAGTTTGTGGAAAAATTGTTTGTATATCCCGATAAGACCTATTTTGGAAATACCATTTTACAATTTGAATTTTCTCACGAACTTCGTAAACATCCATTATTTTACTTAAAAAATAAATTTTACACGAGAACTGTCGCAAGAATCTATGTATTCGTTTTTGCTATTAAAACACGTATAAATACAAATTCTGAAACATTCTTATCACATAATATCTACCTATTTTTATTTTATCGCATTTTTTCGCCTGCTTTTTATCCGGCGGACGGGTATACGTTAATTTGTCCGGTTTTGCCTATGTTACTACTACGGTGGTCCGGTCTGTATACGGCGTCGTATAAATTTGCTACCTGTAATGTGTGTAGAAAATTCGCTCGGCTTTTTATCGAGTTTGTCACATTAAAATCGGATTTCAATTTATTTCATTCTAGGATCGCTTGATACTCGTCACTTGCTTTCTTGTTAATAATCGAGCGATGTTGGTTATTTCAATAATCGAGTACGCGAGCGAATTTTCGCTCCAGTTATCCCATCACTAATTATAAGTCACGTTTTCAAAAATGTCCTTCAAATCCTTCAATTTAATAGCTGTTAGAGGTTCGCTTCATATAGTGCACACACTGTTTTTTTTCTGTCACAATTTTGTTACCAAACTAACTGAAGAAGTCCACGTCACGCCTGCGCATTAAATTTTGTCTTGAAATATTTTAATTTTATGATACAAGGGAGAAAATGCTTCAACCAATGTATAAAAAATAAAATTGTTCATTGGAATCAAAATGCAAATAATCAGAAACAATAATAAATACTGTAAACATTGACTTAAAGAACGTCGATGAAGCGAATACCATTTACGAATGTCCATGCATTTGAAACAAGCCTGTCCCGTAATTAATACAAAACTTTCAGACGGTTAACCAGACTTGTTATACCTAATCATAATTGGCTATCTGGTATATATGGAACACACCCTAATTTTTTAGTTATTATAAACAAATTTGGATTAGATTTTAATATATACAAGGTGCCTCTTAAATAAGTATTTTAACTGGCAGTATATCTACTACCCCAGAAATAAACCGTTTAACCGTGTGAGCCTAATTTATCTTTGGTCGTTTTATTATATTAGAGTTTTAAAAAAAAATATTGGTTGGAATATTGGTTCTAATATAATCTACGAAGTTGGCAACATTGTCAGTCATTCTCTGCACGCTCCCTTCTATTTTGCCACGCTGATTGTATCCATCTCAGCTTTTTGGAGACAGTTTTATTTATGAGGGCCGGACGCTTTATTTTTACTAATAATTTATCTTTTTACTCAATTTCTTTTCTTATGGTTCGATGGTATTTAAAACTTTCTCGTTAACCCATATACATTCTTATCCTTCCACTATTTTTTATTTCAACCTTTTTTTATAGTCTATATGCATGTTAAAGCAAGGCTCATCCACTCTTTTTATTTTACGCAAACCCACCACACAATCACCTGATAATGTGATATTTAGTTTATTTTATTTCGTCGTGTTTTCTCTGTCCATTCTGTGTGGACGGTTATTTTTTAGCGCCGGCATTAAATAGATTCTGTGTTTCAGCCAAATTCTTTGCGACGATAAGGATAACGATTCACATCATGGACATCAGGATGCTGCTAAGTAAGTACCAACCAAATGTCACTAATTAAACTAAAATGTCTGTCTAAAACAAATTGTATAATAATTCTCCTTGTAATTAAAGCTATGGCGATGATGTTGCTTTGGTTCAATCAGAGTTTTTATCCGATATCACGGTCACAGCATCCGATTTATGTCCTGACTTGAGTTTGGGATTTCACGAAAGCGAACCTGACTCATGGACGCCTCACGCTGGCAAGGAAATCGCTCGCAAATTGAAAGAAAAGGAAGTGAAGAGACAAGAGCACATCTACGAATTCATTTTAACGGAGAAGCACCATTGCATGACGCTATTAGTTATGCAAAAAGTTAGTTTTTCAAACCGATTTTACAGTATTGTAACAATAATTCTTGTTTTAGATCTTTGTAGAAGGTATTTCGAAGTATTTCAACCTGGGTCCCAATTTAGAAAGAATGTTTCCTAGGCTAGCTGATCTCACTGAACTCCATTTAGGTTTGTTATCCAGACTGAGACAGCGTCAAAGGGAGAACGCTGTGGTCAGCTCGATTGCAGATATCCTGTTAGAACAGTTTTCTAATATTCATGCTTCCAAATTAAAGTCTGCCTATGGTAAACATCTAAATTCTTTAAGATAATCATATTTTTTATTAATCTGTGATTCTAGGTGAATTTTGTAGTAGACATCGAGACGCTGTAGAAATATATAAGTTTTATTTGCAAAACGACGCAAGATTTGAAGAATTTGTAAAGCATTGCCAAACAAACCCTCTGTTAAAGAAGAAAGGCATTCCTGAATGTATATTGTTTGTCACGCAGCGCCTTACGAAATATCCTTTGTTGATCGAGCCTTTGATTAAAACAAGCAAGGAAAACCGCCAAGAACAAGAGGCACTGCAAAAAGCCTTAGGTTTGGTTAAAGAAATTCTAGTTGAAGTGGACTCTCAGGTAGCAGAAAAGGAAAAAGAAGACAGAAAATTAGAAATATATCATAGAATTGACGCGAAATCCTTTACAATTCATCGAGGTCATAAATTTAAAAAATCTGATATCTTGCAAGGTAACAGGTCTTTGAAATTTGAAGGAGTTGCAATGCTGATGCAAGGAAGAGGGAAGATGCAAGTAGTCTTGGTAATAGTGCTATCAGACGTCCTCTTTTTCCTTCAGGAGAATTCGCATAAGTATAGCTTCTTTACGCCTGACAATAAGGTAATTATTAAAGTACTTTTTATAAAATTTCATATTAAAAGGTTTTCTATAGGCTGGCGTAGTCTCTCTACAAAAGTTACTAGTAAGAGAAAAAGCAGGCCAAGACTCTAGAGGAATTTATTTGATATCTTCCAACCCTGCTGATCCAGAAATGTTTGAGCTTAAAGTTCATAAACCGAAAGATAAACAAGTTTGGATACAAGCTATAAGGTGAATATAGAGTATATCTTGTTCCACATATATTTATGGTTTTTGTTATGAAGGGATGCTGTTCAAAATTGTCCAGAAGAAGATGAAACTGCCAATATGTCTGCCGAAGATAAACAAGGTCTTTTAAATGCCAAGCAGCATCAAGTGCGGAATTTGATAGGTATGAAATAATATTATTAACATATTTTAACATATATGTAAGTGTTATAGGTTGTACAGCTTGTATATAGTAAGGGTGACTACTCGTATTCATATTGTACTCTATACTTACCTATTAAAGGTGTTGCTTATTGGGCTATACTTTTACGCGAATAATATATGGATCATACCAAATAAACTTGTCACGTGATTCAGCTGTACCGGCATAGCGTTGCTCACTTTTACATATTTTTTTTAATCAAAATATGTTTTGACTTTTTTGTAACGGCTATGACGCTATCTCGTACACTTCGCACTAAAAGAGGTTCTAAAAAGAACAATGTTTTGCTGCAAGGTCTGCTAGTAAAACTTTTTAAGCTTAAAGTATCACAACAGGATTCATTTAAACCAGAATCTCGTAATACAAAACTAAAGTGTCAAAACCTTTGAATAAGAAGAATAAGGAAGGAGCATATCAAAAATCTTAGGTCCACCCATAGATTTAGGAAGAACAGATATCACATTTTGCATTTTAACCCGATCAAACAATCGGAGGTTGACTACGTACTGTAAAAACCAACTGAAATAGAGAAGGCGACATTGCCACATCTCAAATTTGCGCCTATCTACTTAGTTTGATTTGCAGAAAAGGTGACTTTAAAACCTTCACCGGACATCAATAAATCTCAATTTCTTAATTAAATTAATAGTTTATTTTTAAAGAAGCATGCGTAATAATATGTTATTAACCAGAGGATATATGCGTTACTATTAAAGGACATGTTTACTGTTTAATGTGCTGAAACGTCTAGAACTATTGGCAACGTCGCTGCTAGTCTTCCAGAATGAAATGAGCCGACCGTCCCACCACCCCTCGCGACGGCCCATGGTCCGTTATAGCGTACTACGTTTAGCTTACGGTATATTTGAAGTCGGAATCAAGTCCGAAGTGAACTTTTCAGTGTTTTTCAGTAGTTTTTGCTTTTGTTTAACGTACTTTTGAATCTGCGAATTTTCAATATGGTACGACAGTGTCAAATGTGTGGAAAAATAAGGTCAAATTACCCGAATTTGTCTTTTCACTGGTAGGTATTGTTTCCGCCGCGCCGTAATCGCCGTACATAGGCGTCCCACAAGGGAGCCTCTCACAATTAAAATAATTTCTAATTATATTTGTTGAATTTTGAGCTATTAAAACAAGAACGTAGTAGCTGGTAATTGAATTATAATTCGTCTCAATTACTACTTAACTGTTGTAGATCATAACAAATTTGAATATAAACGTTGGATTTGAAACTTTATAATAAGCCAGAAAGTGACATTTTTTTTCTCTTAAAATTGCGTCATATTTTGGTCATTATATACGATATTCTAAAGGAATTTTGCTCAACAAATAAACAAAGGTGTTTACCCGCCCTTTTTTACATTTTATTGCATTATTATATCTGCCCCTTTGGGCCTCGTTTAAACAATTTTTTACCACCGTACAAATACCTCTTCCTAGAGTTATTTGTACGGTGTGTTTACCTTTTTTTAGAATGGGACGAACTGTAAATAATTCTTAGGCTACTAGTTTTATACATACCTATATACAGAGTGACCCAGGCCTCCAAAAAAGCTTTTTACCAATGACATCGAAATAAATTAGACCCGGCGACTTACATTTTGGCGAAATCCATCATTGCCTTAGAAAATTGCATGTATGCCAAATTTCCACTACCGGCCGCATTTAAAATGAAATCTTACCTACGTATACGTACGGGGATAGCTAACCCACATTGTAAACCAGGAATTCCATAATTCCAAATATAGATTACGTCGTAGAATATTTTAAACCGATAATAATTAAAGGTAGTAAAGTTAATAAGTAAAGGTTTAAATCTTCTGTAATTATAATTTTTAGAAATTAAGAAATTTAACATAAAACAATCGACAACGTCGCAACGCCAGCTGATGCCGAAAACGTACGCATTTTACTATCTTCACTCCTAAATTTAGGCAGCCAACAAAACATCCAGTTCGAATTCGTTCATAAATTGCTCTACGGCGTTGCCAATGTGTTGTAGTTTTTCGAAATGTTTTACGAGGTGATTTCCAGATATTTTAGTGTTTTGTGGTATTGTTTTTAGTGATTTTATTGATAAACAATAAGACAATGGTGCGAACTTGCTTAATTTGCAAAAATAGAGACGATTTAAACCTAGAAGTTTCATTTCGAAGGTGAGTAAGGCTATGTTACATCAGTGCGGTGCCGAAAGGTAAAATAGAGAAAAATCTTTGGAAATATGTATTAGTAAATCACACAGTTTTGGAATGTACCGTTATAAGTAATGAATTACATTAAGTTAGTTTCGTCACGTTTGGTTTTTTTTGAATATTTTGCTCATAATTTTTAATTATTAAAACCAAGTATACAAATACCAAGTATACAAATGCGATTAATTTGTTGAAAAGATATATAAAAAAATTAAAGATGCCACAATTACGAAAAATGTTCATAAGCGAAATACCATATGATCGAGAAAAAAAAACGGCGTCAGCGATGGCTATGAAATGAAGATCGCTGTCATTTTATATGTAAAATTATATGGGGAATGTCATCGATGTTCATTTCTAAGCCAACTGGACGCCGCTTTTTTTCCCGGTATTTACGCGGATATAATATTAAATTATATATTACAATCAAAGTAACTACGCCCATGACACACTTTCTCAAGATCTCTGAACAGCGTTGCCATTCTCACGGGAATCCTTCATGACTGCGATCAGCCCGTCTTGTTCCCACTCGCATAGAGCAAGAAACGAATATCTGATTCTAATCTTTTCCTTTTTATGAATGAAATGCCGGGTCTACTTTATTTAGAGGTCATTGCTTTTTACCTATTACCTTTTTTTTCTATCATACTGATTGTTATTAGGATTTTTAGTTGTTAAAGATGATTTTTTAAGTGTAAAATCAAAATAGATTTATATAATGATTGAAAAAAAAGTTAAGGGAAGAGTACGTTGGATATTACATACTAAATACCGAATGATCGAAAAAAAAACGGTATCGAAGACAGCTGGGAATAACAAACGAATATAATTTTGGCGAGGTCTATTTCTAGATGTCATTTATTAAAAATTGACATAAAGCTTGTCAAAAAACTAATACTAATTATAGAAAAATTATAAAAAGGATAGAACGTTTCCAGAAACATTCAAACCGATATCAAAAAAAAAATTCGAATTTATACTACACCATTTAAAAATCAAATACAACCTTAAGGCCTACTACTGCCAGTAAGTGCCATTAAAAAATAAACAAGAGTAGGGGTCATGACATATCACCTCGCCAAAATTATCACTGATTGTCATTTTTTACGCCGTTTCTTTTTTCGATGGTATAATGTTTGTGGTAATAGAGCAATGTATTTTTTGTTTTGTTTATTCTTTGACAAGTAGTAAATAAAAGCAAAAATGCAAGAAAAAATATATAATTACTTAATTTAAGTGAATTTCATAAATGATCGGTTTACTACACGTATGTATATTATATAGTCACTTACTAGCGAAAAGTTGTTCATTATTTCACTCGATTTTTGCCGAGATCTACCGCACGCTACACAACCAACTATTTTAGAGTCTTTTTCGATAAATCGCGATAGTGTCACTGTTAATTTAAGTTCTGCCACAATTTCCATCTAGATTTACTACCTTTATACAACTATCAGTAGTAGAATAAATAATAAATAACATAATTCTAGCTCCGTAAAGACTGGCAAATCTACAAAATTTCAAATCAAATTCAAATGTGTCAAACGAATCGTCAAACAGAACTGTCAAGGATCCCCACCTTAGAGTCCTTTTTCCGCCCACCATGCATGAATACATGGATAGAATTATGCTCCTTCCTTAGTCTTCTTATTCAAAGGAATGATAATGTCAGGAAATTAATAAATAAATGCGGCAACTTGACCATTTTTTACAGCAGAGCTACCACCTGAATCCCCGGCGGGAAATTTAAATTCCAGTTAGTCAGCCCTGCGCCGATTATGTCCATGGTTGGTAACGACGAATTAATTAAAAATCGCACCCTCGATTACGTAACTAAAAGTTATAATAAATTGGTATCGCTTATATACTCGTATATAAAATATGTATGTAATTCAGAAACATTACCATAGAGTTCAGTGCACTGGTATAATTTAAACAGTTTCATTCGTGAAAATTTGTATAATATAATTTTGACATTGGAACTACCGTATGATCGAAAAAAACGCGTTAAATCAAATTGTTTAAGTGATATTTTCAAAAGTCAATAACTCGGAAACGGTTGGTATGAGGTACATTGTGTGTATTTCGATTTTTGCTTAGAATTGAAGGAAGAACCGAAATATGCAATAATATACATTTAAAAAAATGAAATTTTGATGTGCCACGACTTTATGACCGATCCTGTATACTTAAATTTATTACTCGCTAATAGATATTTATAAACCCTATAACTTTTATATTTAACTTTTTGCGGTACCTCTTATATTTTACCTAATAATTGACCGTTTCCATACATAAAAGAGGCCCTGTATTTCTTTTTATCAAGATTCTTATCTGCGGCTTACATCGTGATGTCGAGTTATAATACAGTGTTATGATTTGTACAATAGTTATCAAGCAACCTCTATGGTTTAATGACACTAGGTGTACATATGACGTATTTCTTGCATGAAAATTTGTACTAACTACACTACACATACAAATTCAGAACCCCGCAACTTAGTGTATATTATTTTATGCTCTGTGCTTAACAGAAGCAGATTCGGACTTAGAAGGTAATCATAATAAAAAATTGAAGGATGTAGATTCTTTTGCATGCTCTTTTTTCACCATATTTGCATGTCATTTTAGGTTAAAGCAGTATTACAAAAATGGCAAAAAGTTATTTAGAGGTTATTAAGTAATCACAGCTTTTTAGTTAGTTGGATTAGGGTGAGTGTAAGTTGTTAAATTTGACTTGCATATGAACTATATTAACTAGACAAGTTATTTTTGTTATCTATCTGAGAACTTCGAAATTATATTTTAGTTGTATATACCTAGTCGGTTACTAAAGAAATTGCGATAATAGAAATTATAATTTTTGTCCTGAAGTGACGTTTAATTAGCTTATGTTGGTTAGAGAAAAATGCATAAAGAGCATGTCTAGGTTTTTTTTTAGAGAGCTATATGGTCTAACAGCTTGTGAATAACCACCACACAATTGCCTCTATATTAGGTATATGTATTATCATTATTATAGTTGAAGGGCCTAGGGGGGAGAAACATGATAAGCACCATTTTTACTAATTTTAGAGGAGAGTTCGTGGTTATCAGGCTCTTTGCTGTATGTATATTTTTACTAGTCATATATTGATATGATTTAACAATTTATTGCCCTGCAGATTTTATACATTTTGTAGAGACCAGTTAGGCCTACTATAATATTGTAAAACCCTAAGAAATTTGCGCTTATCATGTTTTCCCTGACCCTTAATTTTTGATTGTGTTTTAATAATTCGTGTGAGTATTTAACTTATATAAGTAATTTTTTACTCAGTTAAATTTGTATAGAAATAAAGTATAGTGTATACACTGAGCATGTAATTAATTAACAGCATTTAGCATAGCAATATTTAATAAAATACATAGTTGTTATTTAAGACATATGCACTTTCAGCTTTGCTAAGACAGAACGATGTGGAACAAGCCTTGTTATTGGAAGAGAAGATGTCGCTGCAGTTGCGTCTTTTGGCAGCTTCAGGGTTAGAACCGCCTTCGCCGCCTTCTTACAGGCATTTAGTAAGCGAGAACGCCGATACAGGCCAAATGTGGAAAGAAGTTTTAACAGCTGTACAGGTACTGTTAATGTATATACTGCAATTATCTTTCCTTTTTTTAACTAGTCTATAGTAGTAGTCATAGAATTACCCAACTAAAGTTTTTAGGAAATATAGAGTACCGCAATAATTTTGTTCACTACGTTTGGAGTCAAAATGGCGGGTATTGATGACAAGTTGGCATAGAGTTATAAAATAACGCGATTAATAATTTTAGTGTGGGTTTTTATGAAATTTTATTGGTTTACTTAAAAAAAATGGCGGCGTTTAGCGTGATTAGCGTAAAGGAACGGATGACAGGCACATCCCATATAAACTCGCCTTTATTATTTGAATGTCAGTAGGGATTCCCCGACGACCACATAGTAAATACCCAAATACGTTTAAAACAAAGTATACGGAGGGTACCGCTTAAATTCCTGTCCCGATATTGAAGGATGGCTATAGAATTTCAATGCATTTCCTACATAAGTCTATCCTTGTGTTGTAGGAGGTTTGACTAAACAAGGATGAACCTATGTCTTAAAACCATTCTACTCGATTTTCTGTCCTCCTTCAATACTGGGACGTAAATCCTCTCATTGCTCTTATGGGGAGGCCGTCGTATATTTTATTTTTTGTAAATACCCGGTATAATAGCAGGAATATACCAGTATATGCCAGGTATATGACTATAATATTCTTCAATGGCTATATTATACATCTTACACATTCTGGTTACCTAATTTCATTATTTGTATATTCCCAAATTTTCTTTACCTACCCGTTGGGTATTTACCCATCGCCCATCACTGCCTCTATATTATCTAGGAACTTTATACCTAACTATACAGAAGCGACACGGATGATTTCTTCTTCTTAGAACGAAATTTTAAGTGTCACTATTATCTTTTTTGAGTTGATTTAGTTTTTTTGTCCCGTTTCTATTAGTCTAAGAGCTAGCAACGTTTTCGAAGTATTTTAAGAGGTCTGGCTCTTTGATATATCTTTTATTATGCTCTCAGGAACAGCGTGCAGGCCGTCTGGCTGCCGATACACATTGCGTTCACTACTGCGCATTCAAAGAAGATCCTATATTTTTTACTTATCGCTTTAAATTCTAGTATTGAATAAAAACCGAGTAAGTCTCCATTAGCTCGGCGCGTAGAGCTTTCGCCTATGAAGCGAAGGTCAGTGGTTCGATACCGGCTGGGGGTGCACCTTTTTTTTTTCGTTTATATTCTGATAGTAAAGTATTAAATATTTGTTTTTTTTTATTCATCAGAACGGATGGCGTTTATGGGTTTCTGATCCGTAGTGTATATAAGTAGAATTTTATACTTTCATTTATTTTGAAGGATTATTGTCGTAATTAATTATTAGATAGGATTAGGATGGTCTGGCTGCCGTGCCGGTAGGTTGCATTCACTATTGCGCATCACATGGGTACAGGGTGTGTCATTTTCGTGCGTTTTTTGGGATTTCTCGTTTATGAGTGGAGACACAATGATGCGTTTTTTTTCACATTACTTTGCTAGTTTTTTATGTAATTAAATATTCTACCCATAGATTTGCGTATTTTCTACACATTAACATTAATCAATCTTGTTTAAAAAGTATTACTATTTTATTTTATTCAATTTAACCAGATAATTTTGTTTTCCATCGTTATCTTAACAAACTGAACTGAAAATAAACTTGTGTAGCTTTTAGATAAAAATCTGTTAAAAAAAGTATTATTAAAATGATTATTAAAATAATAAACAACAGCTGAAAAAAATATTTTGAAGAAAGACAGGCAAAAATTACGTTAATAAAGCATTAAAATGTTAATTTTTATATATTATGTTTAAATCTTTAAAATGAAATTACGGCCAAGAAAAAATTACGGCCAACATTTTTAGTTTTATTTTTAGACATTATGTTTAAATCATTACAATCTAATTATTATAATTGAATTAAATATTTTTATTTAATATTAGTGTCAGCAAATATTTATTACTTTACTATCAGAATATAAACGAAAAAAAAAATAAAAAAGTTGCACCCCCAGCCAGTATCGAACCACTGACCTTCCCTTCATAGGCGAAAGCTCTACGCGCCGAGCTAATGGAGACTTGCTCGGTTTTTATTCAATACTAGAATTTAAACCGCTAAGTAAAAAATAGAGGATCTTCTTTGTATGCGCAGTAGTGAACGCAACGTGCATCAGCAGCCAGACGGCGGCGGCGTGCACGCTGTTCCAGAGAGCATAATAAAAGATATATCAAAGAGCCAGACGTCTTAAAATACTTGTTTTCTCGACGTTGCTAGCTCTCGTACTATATATTTTGCTTCGAATTTAGTTAATTACGTAACGTAATCTGTCATTATTGTCACCAAATTAACCACCACAAAAGGCTGGTTTTCTGATTCGTATTCAGTACTTTTTTGTTGCAAAAAAAACTTATAAAATTACAATAATAAAATTACAATTTATCATCGTTAAATTAGTATTTACTAAATTTAATAAATAGAAATACAAATAGAAATAATACAAAAAAATAAACAGTGTATTTAAAAAATTATTGCAGGGCAATTTTTTTCACTATACAGGAAAATTGTTAAAAATATGTGGCTTTAAGGTCAAAAAATTTGGAACACATACTTCAAAGGAGCCAAAGGTTACTGTCCTTATTCTCGCTTCTGTCTAGTTAAGATAGATTGTGGTATAGTGAATAGAAATACTCGTTAAGAATTTGAAAGTGGTACACAATATTGAATTTTGATATAAAATATTTTCTTGAACTGACATCGTCATTGAAAGTTGAAATGTTATTTTATAGGAAGTAAATCAGTTGGCGAGTTCCTTGTACGCCACTGGTACGAATTTGTCGAGAAGCGTGAGCTCGGCAGGGGAACACCAGAGCGAAACATACGTTTCTCCTATACTCCCCAAGCGTGCCGAGACTTTTGGCGGCTTTGACAATAACCAGGTTCCCTTGAAAGCCATGGGGAAGAAGCTGTTGCAGAGCTCAACCGGGGGCACTCCTGCCAGTTCACCTGATTTCGAAAATCTGAAACCTGGCGATTCAAGACTCTTTGTAAGTATTATAAGTTTATACCTGCATTTTTTTAACTTTCAGTGATGTCTAATATTTGTGTAGGAGCGGTTACCTTATAGAAACTGTGTAATAACTGGAAAGCCTTTGATCAACGGCTCCTCCTTGAATAACGAGCATCATCAATCAGCGCAGCAGATCCAGCGCCACCACCAGCAGCAGGCTCAAATGGCTCAAGTCACGCAATTGGCCAACTCGCAACAACTAACAGCTCCCCCTGACGCACCAGCCTTGCTGTCTTTGGGCCGAGAACAACAGTATGCAGCTATTCAACTTAGTCACTATGTCTACACATTGCTCTGTATAATTTCTCAATTGATGACTACGAATGGAAGGTATTTACTGTAAAACATACAATAAAAAAAAAAAAAATATATATATATATATATATATATATATATATATATATATATATATATATATATATATATATATATATATAAAGGAAAATTAAAATAACTTTGGTTGCACATCATAATACGACCACCAGCAAACTCCATAAGACGACGCATGGTGTCATTGATGACGTGCACCGCAAGCTGTTTTAATTTCCCTTTATGTAAAATATATATAATGTTTATATAAATTTTAAAAATTCCACTTGAATATTTTTGTTAACAGTTTACAAGCTCAAATGGTGAACGTTAAAGGATCTGATAAGCAATATCGTCACAACCAACAGTTGGAAGAGTTGAGAAACCTACAGGACAAACTAAGCGGGGAAAAAGCTTCTTGGGCGGCTAATAAAGAAAAAGAAGAACAAGAATTGGAAGAAAAACGACAAGAATTGCTTCGTTTACAGGTAAGAAAGAAATCATCAAAAATAGTCAGAAAAAATCGTTAATAAAAAATTTTAGGAGCAAATAAGGGCCGAACAAAATGATATAACCCAACAAAGAGAACAACTGTATCGAAAAATGGAAGTACTTACAAGTCAAGGTCTACTTATCTCTCCCAACGTGGCCATACCAGTGACAGGTCAGTTGGATGACAGTAGTAAAGACAGTTCAGAAGAAAGTAGTCCTCAGTCATCAGACACTTCGTCGGCAGCATCAGCCTTGAGTTCTACACAAAGTTCTACAAGTCACATAGCCTCAGCAAGTGATAAGAGAAAAGAAAGCAAATGGGCCAAAAGTACTATAATTTGTATACCTCAACTATTTTTTAACTAATTAATTACTTTTGCAGGTAGTACTCAATCTAAGCAGCTACCTTTAAATTTGATATCCGCTACGAATCAGCAGAAAGCATCCCAAAATCTACCTATCAAGCAACAAATTCCTCTTAAGTTAGCTTCGAGATTGAGCTCTGGATCAGCTGAGTGTAAGATGGCGCCTTCAGGGCCACAACAGATGCTGCCCTTGAAGTTAAGCCAGGATGAGAAAAGTAGAAGGGCAAGTTCATCAGGATACCAAAGGTTGTCTGAGAATAGCTTTAGCCCACCGTCTGAAGAAACTGTAAGTATTATTACTGATTTTGTAGGTCCTTATGTTTGAATACCATAAATACGCTAGTTAATCCCATCATAAAAATCTCACAATAACGACTAACTATCAATTTCCAGTGATTTATTGCAATATTCCAAAAACTGCTTCGTTCCGCCTTGACTGCTTCTTAAACTACCCACAGATATCACTTCTAGCTCGTTTTGGAAATTATGTTTGCTTTTATACGTTTTCAGTCTAGCAATTTCTATTGGATATATTCAGTGATCGACGCTCTGTAAACAGAAACCATCAAAAACCGCAGCCGATATGGCTCTAGACTAGAGTTCCTGCTCGAGAATTCTCGAGAAATTTGTCTTTAGTCGAGAAGGGAAAAAGCTACGCCACGACTCGAGAATTCGAGAAGTGTATTTCTTGGGGAACTAAAATATAGGAACCTATAATAGTATACCTATAGGAACTAAAATAATCAGGCATATAACACGTAAACATTATGATTAATTAGTACCGTATGATCGAAAAAAAACGGCGTCCAGTTGGCTGGGAAATGAACATCGATGACATTTCCTATATAAATTTACATATAAAATGACAGCGATCTTCATTCCATAGCCATCGCTGACGCCGTTTTTTCTCGATCATACGGTATTTATATGTGGCCGGCCGTAGCTCAAGCGGTAGTCTGTCGATCTGCAGAGCGGAAGGTACTGGGTTCGATCCCCAGCCAGTACGGTCGTTTTATTTTTTTAAATAAAAATATTTATCTAAATAGAGCGACCAACGAACAACGAGCCGCCACCGGAAGGCAATGGCAAACCACCTTAAGTATATTTGCCTTGTACGGCCTCTCAAATAGTGCCGTTCGGATTCGGCGATAAACTGTAGGTCCCGTGTACTTGTGAAACACTGATGACACACACCATAAGTACATGCGAGAGGTAGCCCACGCTCTGTATAGAGTATGGCACTATAAGTATTTAAATGATGTTAATGCTTATGTTTCTAGAAGTTTATTTGTTGATGTTTTTGCGGGTTACTGGTTTATTTTTAGTTGACATACTATGTTCAAATAAAATAGTATTGAAAGTTAATTATGATTTGCATCACCCATACCTTAAAGGTAAGTCAGTCGAAAGTGCTCTGCATTCGGTCGTAGGTACAAATGAAAAATCCCTCAGGGATAAGAAATACACATTAGTGGCTTTCTTAGACATAGAGGATGCTTTCAGTAATTTAAAAACAGAACCGCTAAAAAACCATGGAGGGACTAAAGGTAGAGCAGTTAACCATTGACTGAGTGTTAGGAATGCTGGAGAATAGGGCTATCACATCGGAAATGGGAAACAGCTCAACCAAAAAACGCGCAACAATGGGCACGTCACAAGGAGGGGTATTATCACCTCTGTTGTGGCTGATTGTAATGAACCCAATCCTGACATCTCTGTCAGAAAAGGGAATTAAGACAAAGACATATGCACACAACGCGCGACGTGGTAATACTGATCGTTGGCAAAGACTTGCAGATGATCAGTGACATGGAATCTGCTCTGATGTAGCTAACGGAATGGGCAAAAAGGAACGGTTTTCACAGTTCACGCTACCAAAGCTGAAAGGGGAGATATTTGTACTTGCTAAGGAAAAAAAAATATTTAGGAATCATACTGGATCCGAAGCCTTCCTGGAAAAGGAACACGGAGGAAAGCATGATAAAGAGAATCTATTCTATGCATGCAAGAAAATGTTGGATCTTGTTTCTTTCTCTCTCTCTCTCTCTCTCTCTCAATCATGTGTGGTCCAAGCACCACAACATAAAATGGTCGGAAGCCCGGGTTGACCACAAAGAATAACCCCATTGGAAAAAGCGCAAATTTAAAGAGGTCGTATTTATTTCTAACAATAATAAAATCTTTCAGTGATACTTCTAACCGAAACGTTGTGTAAGCAAAATAAATAAAGACAATGAATCCGAAACTTTAGTTTTCATACTGAATCAAAAATGAAATATGCCGCTACATACCAGGATACGGGTAATTCAATCTTATATTTGGCCTGTGATGTTGTATGGCGCTGAGACTTGGCTTAAGGTAAAATCATTAAACAGAATTGATGCTTTCGAAATGTGGACACATTGCTGCGCATACCCTGGACGGAGCATGCAACAAATGATGAAGTCCTAAGAAGAGCCAGAGTAGACAGACAACTAATGGATACCGTAAAACAACGCAAAGTATCATAACTAGGACATATATTAAGGAGACGTCAATACTCTATACCCAGGTTGATACTGCAGGGGAAAATTGAAGGCCGACGGGGACCGGGTCGAAAACAGCATTCTTGGCTTCGCAACATAAGAAACTGGAGTGGCATACCTGACGCCGCAACCATATTTCGACGAGCCGAAGAGGGCACCCTAGTCATCTTATAGCCATAAAACAGACGAATGATCGCCAGCGTGTGTCATAGTACATGGCACCCGAAGAAGAAGACTGAATCATTGTCTACCACATTCAAAGCAAAGTATGATATGGTCTCGTACACTTTCGATTTTCGATCAGTAATTCGCGTCGAACATATTTAATGTAAAACCGGCTATCAAAGTCGCTCGGCGTAGACTATTTGTCCCCCTCCCAGCATTCTCTGGTTTCGCCGGATGTTCGCCGGGTACAGACGATCGATACTGAGGACCGGTCGAAGTCGACGGGTCTAATGCATTGCGCGGGCTTACATTTATTTCAATGTAAACTGAAAATCACGGGTCGCTCGGTCGCGCTGGTACCTGTCCAGTGCGCGCTCAGCTTTACTCTATAAAGGAAGCGGTCAGTTATATACGATGGAAAATCGCTGATAGACTAATATACTCACAACACACATAACTCTGACATGCTTTATGAAACATCACCATGCGATCAGTGAGATTGAAAACTATGATGGACTGCCGAGAAGCACTGTCCTGGCTGCGTTAAGGCGGAATCACTCTGTGCTGAGTACCAGGCCACAGCTATGTGGCGGGCAACCAGGAAGCGTACAGTCTCGCCAAAGAGGGAACCAGGGGAGCGGCTGTGGCAGATGACCCACCACTTTTGACGATCAACACACTGGCGGAAGCTATATCATCAAGGCAGCAAGAGACGTGGCAACACCGCGAGAACTACGCTACAGCTTGAAGACTGTGGCTAGTGGTAGATAGCGAAAAGACAAAACAACTACTAGAGCACAAAAAGAACTTAATACGCATAATTGCAGGTGTCGTCACTGGAAACTGTCCCACGGGGGTAAACCTCGTGAGATGGAAGCTTTCCAACGACGACTATTGCAGAGAATGCGGAAAGGAAGAAGAAACCATAGAGCTCCTGCTGTGCCACTGTCCGGCACTGGAAAACCGATGCTTTAAAACTTTAGGGACGGTATTTTGGAGGAACTAGAGGAAGCAACAGAAGTCAACATAAGCGACATCGGGAACTTTGCAAAGAGCTGGAAGTGATTTAAAGCAAGGAAAGAATGTAGGAAGGTTTGGTAAACAATAATACAGGGGTATTGTAATGTACTCAAGGCCTCCGAGTGAGGGATAAAACAGGATCCCAAACCCCAGCAACAATTACCTAATTATGACTTGTCTAATTGAAAGATTGTGATGTCACTGGTATAATAGTTTGTAACGAGTTTTGTAAATATAAAAGGCATTTTTAGTTTAATAGCAGCAAAATGTTTATTTTGTTAAAACAAGTTTTTAATAATCTATATAATAATGTTACTAGTAATTTTGTTGATTTAATTTTACTTATTATTTTTGTTTGTTTGTTAAGACTGTTTGTACTAGCGATGGGAACTATCGAATGAATTAGACAATGGAATGGTTACTGAATGAATGATTTCAACTATCCAATGGTTTCATTCGAATAAAATCATTCATTCATTTGTATACTAAAGCATATGTGACAACCTCGCCGTGCGACTAAATGGTTATCGTTAAGCCACGACTATCGAATGCTTTAGATAAATGAAATTTAGTATTCGTTTGATTTTTGTCTGCGTCAGTGCATTATTAATTCTTCCAAATTTTTATAACTTGCCTTCTAAATACTGTGCTATTTTTGCGTTTATTCAAATATTTAAAATACTAAAGTAGTAGTGTTTTTTTTTAAATTGACGATTGTGTACGTGTGCAGGTGGTCAAAATTTTTTTCGAAAATTTGTGTGATTTTCCGATCTTTCAATTATTTAATTTTATACGGTATATGGTCTATTTTTTTAATGGGAAATTTTGAGAAGTAACAATTTTTAAGAGAGATGAGGTGAACTTACAATTAATTTTAAAAATACATATGTATTTGTATTTTAGATGTTTTAGTAATATGAATTAGTTGAACTTAATAATCATATTTAAGTAATGTGGTAATGTGGTTAAGTAAATCGGTTAAAAGTAAAAAGGTTATCGAACTCAAATTTTGGGATGAGAAAATTAAATTGATTGATTAAAGTTTTACACGTGCCAATTTAAAAAAAAGTTAATGATATTTGTATTTTGTTTATGCTAATTCTCTTACATGTAGATTTTTGCGAAGAAATATTTCATTTATTTTTTAAAGTAAATGCCAGTAAAAGCAAATATTATTTTTAAATACTAATACAAAGTAATAAAAAGTAATAAACATATATAATTTTGATTTCTAATTTTTTATTTATATTTTTCTTCTATTACACTACATGCTTAGAAAATTAATAAATGTTTATATTTCATGATTTTAAAATTTGTTGTTAATATAACAAATTAGTTCTGTAATTATTATTATTTAATAAACCAACGTTGCCAAAAAATTTAGAGACTATTATTTTTAAATAGGATCTAATATAAATAATTTTGACTTCTAATTTGTTGTTTATATTTTGCTACTACTTAAAAAAATGTTTATATTAAATGATTTTAAATTTTGGTGTTAATAGGTATAACAAATTATTACTGTTATTATTTTTTATTAAACCAGTTTTGCTTAAAAACATTAAAAATAATTTTC